CAAGGTATATAGGATACTACACACACACACACACACACACTTTAACTACTAACTGATTTACCATATATGGTATGATTAGAAGTAATCATAGTACATGAATTTATGGGCTACTGTACATGCAGTGCAAATTTGTATAAGCTACAAATAATATTGAATATGATTATCTAATGGTTTGTACATTGGTTGAACCAGTCTTTGGTGTGTATGTATTATCTGTATATTCTGTTGTGTTATTATGCATATACTGATTACTCTCTTCTTTTATATTATTATTCAGTTAAAGGTGATGATAGTAATGATATTATGAGCAATGTATTAGAAGAGATGAGACAAGAACAGGAAAAGTTGATTGAAGAGAAACAGATTATTACTGGTTAGTGTATCATCAGTACATAATATTAGATGAGAGAATATTCTATTATTGTATAGAGGATAATGAGAAACTGAAACTTAAAGTAGTTGATATGGAGGAGAAGGAGGAACAATATCTCAAGGAGAAACAGATCATTATTGGTTAGTTAACTATACACACAGCATGTATTAGATGAGAGAATATGTTTATTGTGTAGACGACGTTCAAATTCTCAAAACTGACATTTCTAAGAAAGACAAAGTTATAGCCAAACTGACATCACAAGTAGAGGAACAATCACAGAATGAGAAACAGATCATTACTGGTTAGTGTATCATCATCAATCAATAATAATTATTAATATTCTATTAATTTATTGACCTTAAAGAAAAGGACTTGTACATAGCCAAACTAGTGAAGGAAAGAAGCAAAGAGACTAGTTCCATTGGACTACAATTTAATTACCTGATCCCTTCAATGGGTAAATTATTGCATGCATGTACCCTACATGTGAATGATTGTGTACTATACTGGTATCAGATATGATGTGTCTGTATTGTTTCAGATTCACTAGACTCTAGTGTCATTATAGCTGGACAGAAGCTCTTTATCCTACAAAGAGACAGGTCTCACTCATTCCAGTGGGAGAAATATGGATTCAGATTAGAGTCTCCTCAAGGAGCAGTGTCCAAGGATACTGAAGTAGCTGTTATTGCACTAGCTGGTGGTAATTTCAAGGTACCCAAAGGTACTGTGCTAGTGAGTGCAGTATATGCAATATCAGTATCTAAGGCACTATTAAAACCACTGGTAATAGAGCTACAACATTGTGTGGATCTAAGGAACACTAGTCAGACTGGCTGCCTCAAGTTTGTCAGAGCTCCACTGAAGTCTCCTAATGCTTACCAGTTCAGTATAGTTGAAGAAGGATCTTTTAGTGTAGGGAACAGATATGGCTCTATTGAACGTGATGAATTCTGTGCTTTTGGTATTGTACATGTTGGTAATGGAGACACACCTAATGGAGGTGGGACTGGATCAGAGAATGATACACAAACTCAAGGTATACAATAGTGTTTGTATTAATAATTTACTGTTGATGTGTTTGTATGATGTATAGGAACAAATAATGATAGTGAGGAGGAGACTAATGGAGACACACCTAATGATAGCAGTAATGGAGCAGGAGAGAATAGTAGTGGAGGAGGAGCCACTTCATCAACAAGTACTACACCACCTCATAGTATGTAACTGTATCGTGTATACTGCATGTTATGTTTTACCTTATAGACTCAATTAATGATGATCCTTCTCAGTTAGTCCATG